CTGACATCCTTAAAGATCTAAAACTGGTGATTATTATTCCTGCTGATTCTCCCTCATGGTGATTTGAATCCTTCTATATATTTAGTACATTTTTTGTAAGTTTATATTGGGCTGAATTTAATCCAGAAACCTAGATTGAGGATGCTTTCTTCAAAGGAGGATTCAGTTTGCATCTGCTGGACTCCAGAGAGCATTAATAATCTTGAGCTACTTAAAATTTTCAGTGTATGGTTTATTTGATCAGAGGGAAAGAGAGCAGGTCCCACAGGGAAACTAACATTTTTATTAATTTTAACATCGAGTGCTGCAGCCTAGACAGGTTTCCTTGTAGGTTCCTTCTGCAAGCAGGCGAACCTTATTCTTTCCATTAAGAATGTAGCCTCACCCTGACCAGTTTGGTTCAGCAGTTAGAGAGTTGGCCAAGTACCAAAAGGTTGAGGGTTCAATTCCTGGTCATGTGGGAGGCAACCAATCGACGTGACACATCAATGTTTCTCTGTCTCCCTCCCTCCCTTCCTCTCTTCCACTCTCTCTAAAAATCAATGGAAAAATATCCTCCGGTGAGGAGTGACCATTAAAAAAAAAAAAAGACCCTAGGGCTTACTCTCTGGTTCTCCCCCAACCTCCCATCCCCTACCCAGTCCTCCAAAATACTAGGTTTCCAGTTAGATGAACTCTGTGTTTATTTACTATTTACCTTATGTTTTGTATTGTTTTATTTTGTTGGCTTCAGGGGGATGCCTTTGGGAGATAACTTTTATTTTGGGGAGATCATTAAGGAATTTTAAAAACATCAATTTGTTGTGTTCTGTATAGCATTTAAATTTTCTGCTATGGGAGGCTTTTGAGACCTCATACTACTGGAAGATAATTTTGAAACAAACCCAAAAAGTGATTATATGATACATTTTTTTAAATTATTTTTTTAAGTTTTTTTTTTCTTTATTGATTTTAGAGAGAGAAGAAGGGAGAGAGAGAAAGAAACTGATGAGTGAGAACATCGATTGGCCACCTCCTGCATGCCCCCTACTGGGGATTTGGCTCACAACTTTGGGCATGTGCCCTGACCACGAATCGAACCAGCAACCTCTTGGTGCATGGGTCAATGCTCAACCAGTAAGCCACACAGGCTGGGTGATACATTTTGTTTTATAACCTCTTTTTTCTTACCATTTGATATATGAAAAACACCTGTCATATAAATAAATATGAGTGTAGAGCATCATTTTACTGACTACATCGTCTTCTGCATAATATATTTAATCTTTTTCTTCTTTTTTTTTTTTTTTTTGGTTCAGGTAGAGTGGGAGGGAGAGAGAGGAACAGAGAGAGAGAGAGAAACATCGATGTGAAAGGAACACATCGAGTGGCTGCCACCCGCACAACCAACCAGGGCCGGGGACAAACTGCAACCGAGGTACGTGCCCTTAGCAGGAATTGAACCCGGGTCTCTCTGGACCACAAGCCAACGCTCTAACCGCTGAACCAAACCGGCCAGGGCTATTTTTTTCACTATTTGAACAACACTTCAGTGAATATCCTTTGCATAATCATGAACTTCTTCCTTCTTTAAGTGTTTATAAAAGTAATATATGCTAATATAAAATATTCAAACAGTAAGGAAAATGAAAATTCTCCACAACCTTTTTTGCCATCGCCTCAATGAATATCATTTGGTCTATAATTGGAATCTGTAAATCAAACAACAGATGAGAATTAGTTAGGGCTAGAATATGAAGAGAGACCGCACTCTCTGATCTCGCCCCAACAATTAGGGATAGGGAGCCGGAGCAAGTACTAGGGATGGGCTGAAGATAACCAGAGTTAATCAGGAGCACAGAACTGAAGGGATGACAGACACCCAAATAGAATCCAAACACCTGGAAGGAACAGCTGGGGTCAGGGGCCTCAGGCCTCAGGAAAGGCCCAAGCTTCAGAATCTAGCAATCAGCTCTGCCTTGCCAGTCCCCTCCTGCCAGAAGCAGAGAGTCTTCTCAGGCATTCACTCCGGGCTCCCATCCCTGCCCCTCCTTTTTTAAAGGGACTTGGTTTATTTTGATTCAAAAAGCAGTACAGGCTCTGACACTATCCCCAACCCTATACTTTATAGTGGCTTACCCATGATTCTCAGGGTCTTGTCCCAATCTAAGAAAGTCAACCATAGAAAGGTCTCTCTCTTTCTATTTCTCTCTCTTTAGAAAGGTCTTTAAACACCCCTCTAACTCCTTTCTGCCTGCTCCCCTTGAGTGGAGCTGAGATGTTGATCCCAGGGTCTTCTCCCTAAAGAGAATCATGAAAGGAATGACTGCCTCTATGATGGCTCTTAGCTCCTGACTACACTATTTTGAGGACCTGCTGCACTTGCCCTTAGAGTCTGTGAGATATTGCCATATTTCTGTAATAAGGTCTATTTCAGATGGATTCTGTCAACCGTGCAGGTGAGAGCCCCTAAATTGTAAAGAAGTTCAACCTCCTTTTTCCCCCCAATGAGCATGGTGTTCCAGCTGGGATGATCAGCATCTTTTTTTTATCCTCACCCGAGGACATTTTTCCATTTTTTGTTCAGATAGAGTGGGAGGGAGAGAGAGGAAGAGAGAGAGAGAGAAACATTGACGTGAAAGGGACACATCGAATGGCTGCCACCCACACGACCGACCAGGGCTGTGGATAAACTGCAACCGAGGTACACGCCCTTAGCGGGAACCGAACCCGGGTCTCTCTGGACCACAGGCCGACGCTCTAACCACTGAGCCAAACTGGCCAGGGCGATGATCAGCATCTTAAGGAAGCCCCAGAAGCCATGGTTGTTCATTTAATTCGATTCAACGAATATTTGGTGCATACTGTGTACTGGCTTTTATTATTATTTTTTTTTGTTACAGATATTTCTCCTTTTTTACCCCATTGGCACCCCCCTCCCCACCCCACCCCCCGCCCCGTCCCCGGCTTAGTTGTCCATGTCCGTTGGTCATGCATACATGCATGTAAGTTCTGTGGTTTATCTCTTCCCACCCCACCCCCCACCCCCTCTTCTGAGGGATGTCAGTCTGTGCCCTACTTCCATGTTTCTGGGTCTACCATATTCCTCAGACTGTTATGTTCATTATATTCCGTATATAAGTGAGATCATGTGGTATTTGTCTTTTTCTGCTTGGCTTATTTCACTTAGGATAATACTTTCCAGGTCCCTCCATGTCGTGTGTACTGGCTTTTAAACAGACTACAATCGAAAAGTTCCCTAAGTAACTCCAGAATAGCATGGACTCCACCAGAATTCATGAGGTGGATTCTGGAATTTTCGGTTTCTCTAAAAATCACAGTTAACTACTGGCCACTTGTACTCCAACCAGCAGAGCCCATGGACCACTGGACAGAATGGAAAGTACATACCAATGCTCTGGCTGGTTTGGCTCAGCAGTTAGAGCATCGGCCTCTGGACCGAGGGGTCTCAGGTTTGATTCCAATTAAGGGCACATACCTGCGTTGCAGGTTCAATCCCTGGCCCCGGTTGGGGTCATTTCGGGGAAGCAACCAGTCAATGTGTCTCTCTCACAAAGATGTTTCCCTCTCTTGCTCTCACACTCTATTTTAAAAATCAGTGGGACACGCCCTGGCCGGTTTGGCTCAGCGGTTAGAGCGTCGGCCTGCGGTCCTGAGAGACCCGGGTTCGGTTCCCACTAAGGGCATGTACCTCGGTTGCAGTTTGTCCCCGGCCCTGGTCGGTTGTGCGGGTGGCAGCCACTCGATGTGTCCCTTTCACATCGATGTTTCTCTCTCTCTCTCTGTTCCCCTCTCTCCCCTCCACTCTACCTGAACAAAAAATGGAAAAATGTCCTCGGGTGAGGATAAAAAAATAAATAAATAAAATAAAGCTAACAGTGGGACAATGTCTTCAGGTGAGGATTAACAACAACAACAAGAAAGAAAGAAAGTGCATACCGAAATGAGCACCTTCCAGTGAGAGCGGGCACATGCGCTGCAGGGCTGGGTCTTCCTGTGAAGGACTGCGCGCCCCGCGCTGGCTACATCTAGTTCCCACATGGTCAGGCCTTGCATGGGTAAAATAACTTGTTGTCTACCCTAAATCCTTAAGGCTCCCCAAACTCCTGAGTTCTGAGCATATGCTTGTGGGTAAGGTGTATTAACCAGGGAATGTGCATGGAGGAGCTGGCACGGGGGGAGAGGGCCATGAGGCTCTGAGGTGTCTCCGCTGCTGCGTACACCTCCATGTCAGCAAGCCCCTGGCTGGCCCGTTCATCTAGTCTTGGTCTTGACAGCAGACAAGTCACTACCAATACCAGGGGCTTGCCTCAGTGAGAGCAGCTGTCAGGAACTGGGCAGAAAGACAGACCGGGACCTGTCAGCACACTGTTGAATGCTTCACACCTTCTTCTGCCACCTTCACCACCGACTGAGTGAAAACAGGAAAGCTTCATGGTTGGCAGCCAGGCTCTGGAGTTGCACACGGGCTTGGGCAAGGTAAACTATCAGTGCCTGCGTTTCCTTGTCCATAAAGAAGTAATGAAAGCAGTGCCTATGCCCTTGGGGTTGATGTGAGAATTAAACAAGCTTATATATGTGCCTGGCATGTGGCGAGCATTACAGAAGTGTTAGCTATGATCTTAGGGGAGCCATAGGAGAGCTGAGCCTTAGGACCATGAAATCCTCCTCACACCATCCCACCCCCAGCCCAGGCCTGGCAGGTGGTGGAGCTGGGAGCCCCGGGGGAGAAGGGGAGACACCAGCTGCAGGAGTGGGTGGAGTATGAGTTCCTGGAGGGTGAGAACTCCTTGGTGGCACCTTAGGTGCCAGTGACACCTACCCAGCCTATGGCATGTAGCAGGTTGCTTGAGGAAATACTGATTAGTAAAGACAAACACTAAGCATCTGTTTTCCCAGCCCCTTTGGGGCGGGTCTGTGGAGGCGGGCAGACCTCTAGAGACACGTGAGTGGACCAGTTCTTGTAAAAGGAAGTTGTTCAGTAACTCAGAGCAAGGAAGCGGAATTAGTGCAGTGGCTTAGGTGGCATAAAGATTGACCCTTCTCCCCACCCCGAGACCCATATCTACCACAAAACCCCACTCCTAGAAGTCACTCCATCCGTGTGACCGCGAAACTTCCAAAAGCCCCTGAACTTTCCAGCCCGATGTCCTGCAGCAAGATGTGGTGAGTGGAGAACGAGACACAGGATGCCCCTGGACTCGCTCGGGAGCTGCCTTTGTGCCTATGCCCAGGCCAGGGGACAGTGGGGCCCACGAGATCCTGCTGAGTCACGGGGGTCATGGGGCAGAGGGCTTGTGGGAAGCAGGGGGACTTGGGGCCATGGTCAGCTGGTGAAGAGGCCCCTTCTCTCAGGCAGATCGGTAACCCAGCCCCCCTGGTGCCCATCAAGAACTTGCAGAACCTGAAGTTCGTAGCCCAAGGCGGTTTCGGCACCGTGTTTCGGGCGAGACACCAGGAATGGGGTCACGATGTAGCAGTCAAGATTGTGAACTCGTGAGTGCTCCAGCTGCTGGCAGGCCAGTGTCTTGCCCTAGGAGGCAGGTTGCTGTCCTGGGGGGCCTGGGCGGGAAAGGGAGGGGTCTGCCCAGCAGAGCAGGACCCCATCTCTCTCCTGGAATATAGGGAGGCGATATCCAAGGAAGTGAAGGCCATGGCAAGTCTCCGTAACACAAATGTGCTGCCTCTGCTGGGGATCGTGGAGAAGCTGGAGTGGAACTACGTGTCGGGGCCGGCCCTGGTGACTCAGTTCATGGAGAACGGTTCCCTGGCGGGGCTGCTGCAGCCCCAATGCCCTCGGCCTTGGCCACTTATCTGCCGCCTGCTGCAGGAGCTGGTGCACGGGATGTGTTACCTGCACAGCCAGGACCCCGTGCTTCTGCACCGGGACCTGAAGCCCTCCAATGTCCTGCTGGACTCCGACCTGCATGCCAAGGTCAGCCTACCCACATCCCAGCCCAGCCTCTAGACAAGGCCATGCCCCAGAGCTGCTCCAGCCCCACCACTGACGTAGCATCTGCTGCAGCCCTATCTACTGAACACCCTCAGCATCTCCCTCTGGACACAGCTGCCCAAGTGTCGAGGCCTACCCAGAAGCTTTAGCCCCTGCCACACCCAGTGATAAGAGTCCCTGGCCAACATGGTCATTTCCACAGGCCCACCCCACTGGGCCCTCCAAGACCCATGGCTGACAGCTCGAGACTCAGACCTCAACCCAGCCTCATAGAGAGGGGACCCAGACCTCCAAACCAAGGGCCCCATTGGTCCTACTGTTCCCCTAACGCTCCTCACCCCTTTACAAGGCTGGCCCCATACCTTCCGGGTTGGAGTTGGGGAGAGAAGGGGGATTCTGGAAGCTGCCTGGCCCTGTCCATCCCTTACCTCTTCTTCCTTCCCTTTCCTCCCTTTGCAGCTGGCAGATTTTGGCCTGTCCACATTTCTGGGAAGCTCACAGTCAGGGGCAGGATCTGGGAATTCAGGGGGCACCCCAGCCTACTTGGCCCCAGAACTGTTGGCTAATGTAAACCAGAAGCCCACTATGGCCAGTGATGTCTACAGGTAAGGTACCCATGCCAAACACACAACTCCAGTTTTTGCACATCTCTGGGACCTTCTGGGGGAAGGCATATAGGAGTGGAGGGGTTTTGTTTCTGTTTTTGTTGTAATATTTTTTCTTCATTGATTTTAGAGAGAGAGACAGATAGAAACATTGATGAGAGAGAACATCAATTGGCTGCCTCCTGCATGCCCCCCCACTGGGGATTGGGCCCATAACCTGGGCATATGCCCTGACCAGGAATCAAACTGGTGACCTCCTGGTGCATGGGTCGATGCTCAATCCCTGAGCCACACCAGCTGGGCATATGGGAGAGGAGTTTTGCTAGAGGTTTGGGGAGGCCTCAGTTTTGTGTCTCCCGCAGCTTCGGGATCCTAATGTGGGCAGTGCTCGCTGGAAGAGAAGCTGAGAGTAAGACTTGAAGCAGACTCTGGTAGCCTAACCCCAGGTGCCCTCCTCCTGAAAGCCCCCAAGCCCCCCTCTTCCTGCTTCCCTGCTCAGATTGTCCATCCCCTCCCCACCTCCCCTTGGACTATACTCCCTGCCTAGTTCCATGGTGGAGAAGGTGGCCCTTCCTATCCTGAAAGCTTTCTCTTCATATCTCCCACCCCACCTCAGTAGTGGACCAGATATCTCTGGTGCAGGAAGCCGTGTGTAAGAGGCAGACCCGGCCCCTACTGACAGAGCTGCCCCAGCCAGGGCCTGAGACTCCTGGCTTGGAAGGACTGTTGAAGTTAATGCAGACCTGCTGGCACCATGAGCCCAAGCGCAGGCCTTCCTTCCAAGGTGAGCTGGTCATTCAATGGCAGCTGGTTGGGCCTGGATATGTCCTCAGGCAGCTTTCCCAGAGAAAGAAGTTTTGCTCACCTGCCACCCACCCTGCCTTCTCTCCAGAATGCCGGCCAAACACTGAGGAAGCCCTCCGCCTGGTACAAAATGGAGATGACGCTGGTAAAAAAATGTATGCTGCAGTCTCCACAGTGAGTGCCTAACACCAGACCCGACCCAAGAGCTGGGTGGGAATGGTACCACATGGCTCCCTTGGCCACCCAGTGACTCCCCACTGACCACTGCTCTTTCTTCCTTAACCCTCATCCCCACTCTTCCCAGCCCACTCCTGAATTCCAGGGCAGCAATTTATGAACCAAGAGACTCTTCCCACCGCCACACCCAGCCAGTCCCCCCTGTCCTTGCAGGTGAAGAAGTTCCTGTCCGAGCACAGGAGGTTGTCTGCCCCTGAGATAGGTTCAGAAAGGACAGAAACCGATGGCCCTGGGGGAACCCCAGGAATCTCTGATGCCATGATCTCTGACATGCTGGAAAACCTGAATCTGAAAGGGCCTCCCAGCTCTGTTCCTGAAAAGTGTGCAAACCTTCCTGAGAGGACTGAGGCACGGGAGCAGGTTCAGTACGCCGGGACAGCAGGGACATCTGATTCGACAGCCCAGCTGCCCCCGACTTCAGAGACCTCGCTATTTAGAAACCAGAAAACCTCGGCTTGGACCCCAGGGGCTGGACCCCAAGGAAATCAGGTGGGACTTTAGAAGGACTAGGATATGCAAGTCCTGTCCTCTTTCCAGGGTAAACTTGGGGCTGAGGCCGTGCTCTGGAAACAGGCCGCGCTCTGGAAACAGGCCGCGAGACAGGAAGCCTGAGAGCGCTGTGTTGTTCACAGGGGACTGAGAGATGTGGCACCACCTGTCCTCCCAGGGAGCCAGAGCCAAGTCCAGCAGCAGGTACCCACTCCAACGCCTTCTTGCCCCTGCTCAGTTCCTCCACCAGCTTCCTCCTCAAAACTATACACAGATCCAGGGTCCCTTGGGGAGAGAGGGAAAGGAAAGGGCTAGAGGTCGCCTACCCTAACCTTCTCATTTCATAAATGTAGAAATTGACCCCCTTTGGGATAGTATCCTGTTGAGATCACAGCAAAGCCTGGATTTGTCTCTAGGCCTTCTGGCTCCCCAACACTAGCTCTGTGAACCCCCAAATTCCATTGTGGCTATGTCAGTACAGAGGGCCTCCCAGCAGAAAAGACCCAAATATCAGGGTCAGAAACATCAGCTACCACCACTCTTGAGCTTCTGCATCCCCAGTTCTGAAGGGGCAGCCTGCAGGGGAAAGGCAAAAGCATACACCTGACACCCTCCCTGGGAGGCCCTAAGACCCCATCTTTGCATTTCCCTGGGGTGAACACGAGGTGCCGCTGCCCCTCCACTCTGCTGCTCCTCCTAACTGAGTGCCCGAGGATTTAACCCTCCCACCAACACCACTTTTTCTCTTAAAGGGCCACAGAACATTTCCATCCATAACAGCGCATATGTGCAGATCGGAAGCAACAACTACATGAGTTTGCCAGGAGGACCTGCCTTACATACGTGGGGCATGGGTAGAGGCCCGCGGCGCACCCCCCACAAGTAGCTTCAAAAGAAGTGCCTTGAGAACCTGACAGCTGGACTGGGCCAAAGGGAATTGAGGAAGCAACTAAACTGCCTCCTGGACTTCAGGCTGGGAGCCGAGACTCTGCGGGCCTTGAGGCCTGCACCTGAACTGACTTTGTGCCCCCAAGAGTCAATAAAATGGTGGAATTTTAACCAAAGTACTATGCAAGAGGCTAAGGTGTCAGCCATAGGTGGGAAGGGACTTGGATGGGAAGTTAAAGAGTTGACATCGAGGGTGGGGGAGGCATTGCAGTCTCACCCAGACGGAGACCGGAAGCAGAATGCTGAGAGCTGGGAGTGAGCAATGTCACGGCACACAAGGTCAGGGCCCAGCTGGTGGCAGGAAGGAATCCCGGACGCCTGGCTCCTGGGGCCCACTCTAATCTCAGGGCAGAGCACTTCCTCTAGAGTAGGCAAGACCCCACCCTACATCCAAACTCTAGGGGTAGATGCTGTGGTCCCCTTTTCTTCTGGGCTACAGAGACTCTGCTGTGGGGTCCTGGGGAGGGGCTCTCCATGGGAATTTGCAGATCTCAGCCCATCTTGTGCCCTGCAGGAGAGCCCCCTCCAGTATCTCTGAGGTCAGTCCCTATACTATCCACCACACACACTCATATGCACCTTGCTTCTGAGGTGACAGCCTTTGGGTTCTCAGCTTGTGTCTGGGAGTGGAAAGCTATGGCTCCTCAAAGCTATGCACAGACATGCCCCCTCCCACGGAGCTGGAGATGGGTGGTTGTTCAGCCACTGCCACAGCATTTGCTGTCCAGTCTCGGAAGTGAAGGGGGAAATGAGCCCCTGCGCCCACCCTGACCTAGATCCTAACCCCCATCTGACACCACGTTCATCCCTACATCCTGACCAGCCTTCACTCCAGCTCTCTTAGCCTCCCCACATCCAAGCTTTCCGCCTCTGTTTTCACACTTGCCACTCGGTGGGCCCACCCCACCCCCTCGCATCCCTCCCGTAGTCTGCATCCCCCTTTCCAGAGGGGGCTGAGGGGAGAAGGCGGTAATGTTGGGAGGGACAGTAAGAATGGGGGAGGAGGCCTGTGGAGTCCCGCACTGGCACGGGAAGGGCCGGGCTGTTTCATCGGGGAAGTGGGAGGGGGCCGCGGCGCCGGGAGGGAAGCGCCTGTCGCCCGGGGCCCTGAGCCACTAACTTAGCAGCGAGCAGTGACTCCGCAACTAGCCCCCCGGGCTCTCTCCCCGAGCCTTGCACATTCAGCTTCGGCAGCCTCCTAGGCGGTGAGTTGGGGGGTAGGGGGAACCCCAAATCCTGTCTTCCTGGAGATGAGGCTCTTGCTCGGGCATCTCCACAGTCTGGGTTTGAGGGAGGAGGAGCGAAGGATTGGGCAGTGTCCTCACCACCAACTGGGAGAAGTCTGGGAGCCCCAGGGTGTGCCTGGAAGGAGATGGCACTGCTGCGAGGTTGGGGGCGGGGATGCAAGTAGCTTCTACCAGGTGAGGGACACAGTTGGAGCGGCTGGAGCCGCAAGCGGTAACCCGCACGACCCTCCTCAGCCCTGGGGCCTGCTTCCCGGCGCTGCAGCGCCTGACAAGGGGAGACCATGGCCCGACTCTTCAGTCCCCGGCCGCCGCCCAGCGAAGACCTCTTCTACGAGACCTACTACAGTCTGAGCCAGCAGTACCCGCTCCTGCTACTGCAGCTGGTGATCGTGCTCTGTGCGCTCCTGGCGCTGCTGGCTGTCGCCTGGGCCAGCGGCAGGGTGAGCAGGGCCTCCGGTGCCCAAGCTTCAAGGGCGTGGGAGGGTCACTGCCTAGGGGGCATTTTCGGTGCTGAGACCCGTGGGGTCTTCTTTTCAGTGTGCTTTCTTTGCTGGGACCCAGGAAAAAAGCGTTGAAACTTTCTAGGAACTATGGTGACCCTGGACATGTCACGTCACCTCTCTGGGCCGCAGTCTCTGGGTCTACATGGGGAAATAACTGAGCCCCGGATGCTTCCAACTTCTTTCAGGGTTCTGACAGACCTTATGAGCTTCTGAGGTCTACTAGTTCTTGAATAAATCCAACACCGGATTTTCCAATTTTCCGGGGGTGGGGTGTAAATTACACTGGGTCCCGTGGGAACTTGTTTCCTGGGTTTCTTTCCCACTTAGGGGCTGTGGGGCAGTTATACCCACAAACTCCCAGAGGCACCCTCCATCCCGCTCTCATTTAATCCCAAATAAACCCATTTCCAGTTTATTTTGGGGGAGAAAATGGGTCTTTAATTCTATTTCTGGAAACATCCTGCTCCCAGTTTTTTTCTCACTCTTCGGGGCAAGGTGGGGGAAATCACTGGACACAGCCAGTCCTTGTTGATCCACTTCAAAATCCAGAAAGAGAAGGGACAAAGGGTAAAGACACCCGCGGGACTTCCACGCCCTGCACGGCGTGGCGAGAAAGTAGCCCCTGGAGGCGAGGAGGCTCCTGGCGCCCCCTGCTGCCAAAGCACTGCTTCGCAGGACCCGGAAATTCGGAGCCTTGTGCCCCGGGGCAGGGAATCTCCCGAGTAAATGGGCCAGATTTGGGTGCACTCGTTTCTAAGTGCCTTCTGTGAGCTAGGATTTTTCACTTGCTTCCCGACCCCAGGCTGGTGCTATGATTCGTATTTGATAGATGAGAAAACTGAGGCACAGAATGATCACGGATACACAAATGGCCGATATGGGGCCGGAATCAGAACTTCTGGGTAGATAGATGGCCTATGGCTGAGCCGCCTCTGCCGCATGCAAGTGAGAGTTTAGGTTGAACCATTCGAGATTGCTGGCTCTGTACATTAAAAACAGATATTGTCGGCAATTCACATGGTTCAGCCTAATACGAATGGCAAGCAGAGGTGCCCTGCCTCTTTTTTGTACTTGGGTTTGAGACACTTTTCCGAGCTGGTCTGAGTTGCTGCCCACTCTCTCTCTTCTTGGACGAACTCCCCAAACTCCACACGCGCCCCTCCACACAGGAGCTGGCCTCAGACCCGGGTTTCCTGACCACAGTGCTGTGCGCGCTGGGCGGCTTCTCACTGCTGTTGGGCCTGGCTTCCTGTGAGCAGCGACTGCAGCGCTGGACGCGTCCCCTGTCGGGCCTCGTATGGGCAGCGCTGCTCGCGCTAGGCCACGGCTTCCTGTTCACCGGCGGCGTGGTGAGCGCCTGGGACCAGGTAAGCGGGGAGGCAGGTGGAGCAGGGGAAAGAGGGCCGCCTGGGCCTCGAACTCGCACCCAGGACATCAGCAGCGAGCAGAGCAGCTGTGTCAGCCTGCAGCTTCCTGCCCCTTTCCCCCAGGTGTCCTTTTTCCTTTTTGTCATCTTCACTACGTATGCTATGTTGCCCCTGGGCATGCGGGACGCCGCCGCTGCGGGCCTCACCTCGTCACTCTCACACCTGCTGGTCCTTGGGCTGTATCTCGGGCCTCAACTGGACTCAAGACCCGCGCTGCTGCCGCAGGTGAGCACGCAGGTAGAGCAGGCTGCGCCCAGGGCCGGCCTCGCTGGGCATTACTTGGTTCATCAGGGCATTCACCAACCCTTTGCTGAGCTGTGACTGCACGGTAGGACGCAACGCTGGGCGCAGGGCACAAACACAGATAGATCCGCCTGTGCCCTGGTGGAAGGGGTACACCAGTGCAGTGCCATGCCTGCAGACACCAGAAGAGGGTTCTGCACCCACGGGGAAGGGAGTTAGACAGGGGACCAGGGTGGTGGGGACAGATATGGATGATAGAACCCTCACAGAAAACGCAGAAATTGGAGCTTGAGTAGTTTGGTGCTGCTGTGTGTGTTGGGTTATGGGGGAGTGGAGACAGCTGGGGTGATGGAGTGGTATTCCAGGCAGAGGAAAGAAGTATGTGCAAAGGTTTCTTGACCTAAGAAGCCATGTTGTTGGTACAGCAGCCACGGGTCTGGAGCAGGGGGAACGGGGAGAAGCGCCACCTATGGATCCCACTGTGTGGCACTCATTGCCTGGAAATACTTGGGTCTCTAACGGCAGTGTCCTCCCCAGCCCCTTTAGAGACCAACTCCACCTACACACACAGGCACCCCCACCCCTACCTGGGTCTAGCGCGCTCTGAGGCTGACCCTCACCCACAGCTGGCAGCAAACGCGGTGTTGTTCCTGTGCGGGAACGTGGCCGGAGCGTACCACAAGGCGCTGATGGAGCGGGCACTGCGCGCCACCTTCCGAGAGGCGCTTAGTTCCCTGCACTCGCGTCGGCGGCTGGACACCGAGAAGAAGCACCAGGTCTGCCGGTAGTGGGGGCCCAGAGGGACCGGGGCTCCGAGAGAGGGGTTACTTAGATCACACAAGGTTCCTTCACAAGCTGAACGACTTTGAACGGGTCACCTGATCTATTTCCTCCTTTGTCAAAAGTGGCTGTTGCCCTCTTTGGAAGGTTGTTGGGAGGCTCAAACAAACTGAAGCTTGTTAAAGCCCTTTAGAACCTTAAGACACTAAATGAACTCTGATTCCGGCGTTGGTGCTGGGAGTTCAGTCCCTAAAGGTGATCAGTGCAGGATGGGGTACTGGAGCCTAGCTGTATGTGGTGGAGAGGACCTGGGAGAGCACCCTGGGGAACACCTAGTGGGGCTGGAGAAGGGCGTGGGCTCCTGGGGGTTTGGGCAGCTGGGCTCCTAGCTTTAGGGTGCCAGAGGGTTGTTTCTCATAGTGACCTCCCCCAGGAACACCTTCTCTTGTCCATCCTTCCTGCCTACTTGGCCCAAGAGATGAAGGCAGAGATTATGGCACGGCTGCAGGCTGGACAGGGGTCCAGGCCAGAGAGCACCAACAACTTCCACAGCCTCTATGTCAAGAGGCACCAGGGAGTCAGGTATGGGCAGGATGGCTGGAGGGGAGGGGCCATGGGCTGAGACCATGCCCCCACTAACTACAGTCTGCCCTGCCCAGTGTGTTGTATGCTGACATCGTGGGCTTCACACGACTGGCCAGTGAGTGCTCCCCAAAGGAGTTGGTGCTCATGCTCAATGAGCTCTTTGGCAAGTTCGACCAGATTGCCAAGGTAAGAGGGGGACTCTGTCCCCAGCTTTAAACACCCCATTCTGGAGAACCTGTTCCAAGGGCAAGTCCTAACTTGTAAGACCCCAGTCCCACGTCAGAGCCCATGTGGGCTCCCAGATACACCAT